TTGGTAATGTAAATGCATTTTAAATTCTATTTTGGAAATAAAAACATGAAAGTTCTAATTTAGTATATTTTTAATATTTTACTCATTCATTTATATATTCCCTTTTGCGAAAAGAATTGGCTAGTGGAGTAATTGTTTTTTTTTCTCTCAAAAGGACACATACCACTTTTTAGTACACATATTATACTTCCTCCGTTTAAAAGACTTCCCATTTTGATTTGGGAGAGAAAATAAAGAAGTGTTTAATAGATATATTATTAGAGAAAAAGTATGTCGTGATAGGTAGGGTATGAAAAAGTTAGGGTAAAAGTGGTTTTTTAATAGAAAGGAGAAGTGTTTTGTTGGAAGTGGAAAAAATTAAAAAGGAAGTGTTTTGTTGGAATCGAATACGTTTTACTCCGTATTTGTTTTGTATGCACCCCTACGCGAGAGTGTATGAGGTAATGAATTCAAAATTCATCCTCATCCATTATAATGCATGTGATGGCCGGAGCTTTTCTTTGTTAAAAAAACCTAATTGCACGTTGCGTTTGACCCTTAAGCATTCACAGACGTCATAGATGAACAAGATAAATATTGTTCTCGGTAGACATTGTTTTTTTTCTTAACATGTGCAAGTACTTGAATATCGTGGATGGACATTGTTAATACCACGAACAACTAACACAATGAGCATTGTCAATTAGGAGTTGGACATTAACGAATATGTCACTAGACCTTGAAATCGCGACAATAATGTCTTGCCGATGGACATTAACAAGGCGATCGAGCCTGGATTGAGAGTCTGAATTGGAAAAAAGAGAAAAAAAGACTAAAGTAAGAGTAAATATTAAAAATATATTAAAATGGACTTTCATGTTTTTATTCTTGAAATATATGTTAAAATATATTTACATTACCAGACATGACATGTAAATTACCAAAAAATGTAGTACGGAGTAATATGCACATGTAAATGCCGCATTACAATTACATTACCACAGTGCAAAAGTTTTATGTTTTAGTCATCTTTAGAAATATTACTCCCTTCGTTCCACAAAACCCTTCCGGTGTTGACTTTGGGGAAAAATGAGGAAAGTGTAATTTTAATTGACTTTCCAATTTTACTACTGATGTGATGTGAAAAAGTAAGATGTGATAGTTTAGTTATTACTTATTAGTGAAAAATTTTGATGTGATAGGTAGGATTTGAAAAAGTAGGGGTAAAAGTTGTTTTTAATAAAAAGTGAAGTGTTTTATAGAAAGCAACAAAATGAAAGATGAAGGGTTTTGTGGAACGGAGAGAGTATATTAAAAAAGCAATGGTTGTAATTAAAAACAATATTGTGCTGAGAAATGTTGTACTGAGTATTAAAAATTAACGCCAATATTTTAATAAATTATAATTAAAGTAAATTTATGTAGAAACGGTCACAGTGTAATAGAGAAAAATCTTTTAAAAAGGGAAGGACGATCGAGTATGCCGATTAATGGTTTTAGTGGCCAAAATATGGAAAAGTTCAAATGTTTATCATCCATATATACTTAACAATTGTTTAGACTAGTGCAAATAAGGATTCGGGCCGGATCTGGGTCAAGCTTGATACAAATTATTAGCCCATTTGCATGGGCGGGCTTGGCCCGGCACGGATTTGATGGGCTAAACTCTTTACCCATACCCGCCGGGCCGCCCGGCCCGGATAAAACATCAAGAAAATCTTTTTTACACAAAAAATTCAAAAAGAAAAAAATGAACTCGTTTTCAAATGTTTAAAATAAAATTATCACTCGCCACATTTACATAGAAAACATAATATAAATATTATTACATACTCCGTAATTAATTAATAAACCTATCATACAGATTCATTAAAAGACTATTGATTTTTGTATAAGAGGGGTGAGTGATATGAACTGTTATACATGAATTTAAAAAAATTTAAAATTTATATAGTCTAGGTAATTAATAATAAAGTAAATGTATTTAATGAATATGGGCGGACCGGGCCTTTTGGCCCGGATGAGCTAAAAGTAACTTCCAGATCCGCCCAAATATAATTCGGGCTTGGGCCGGCCCGCCCATGTGGGTATTAAAAATTGTCCATATCCGCCCATTTTAAAGGGCGGGCTGGGCGGGCCAACCATTGTTTGCACAGGTCTACAATTGTTATACAGAGTATATGGCTAAATAAAATCAGATGCGAATCATATATATTCCGTTCTTTCCAAAATATATCCTCCCGTCTGAAAATGTCCTCTGTTTGACTTTTCTTTGTCAAAATGTATAAATTTTGACTCAAATTTGTAAAAAAAAATTCAATATAATTTTAATATCGATATATTTTATTGAAACACAGTTTTCAAATTTCAAATTTTTATGAAATATAGTAATGTGTAAATAAAAGTATTAGTGGTTAAAGTGCTATTTTAGAGACCATAAAATCTTCTTAAAAGTGAAGGAGGATGCGGGATCATGATATTAGTGGCCAAAATTAAAAACCAAAACGTTTAAAAGTTTATCATCCATATAAAGGAATATACTATATATACAATGGATATTATATATGGCACTAAATAAAATCATATACGATTCTTTTTTAAACATATATGATTCTTGCCTTAATAAGAATGAATGCAATTCTTAGTTTTCATAACACTATATAATATACCCCAGGTACGGTACAAATGAACGTCAACTAATTAAAAAGCAATCAATAACTGGATCCATCACAAGAGGATTAATCAAAGATGGGTAGAAGCTTTGGATCCACCTTTATGAGCACACTTTGTCTCATCATCCTCATCATGCCTCTTGCATTTGGTACGTTAACATATTACTCCCTCCGTTTCTTAAAACCCTTCCTCTTTCATTTTTTTTGTTTTTCTTAAAACACTTCCCTTTTCTATTAAAAAACCACTTTTACCCCTACTTTTGTTGAAACAATAGACTTGGGCCCAATTCAACCCCAAAAGTTAACTCAAGAGGTTGAGGCACCCAAGCTATTAAATAGCAGCACAATATAAGGTTGCATAGCCGATGTGGAATGAACAAGTCAACACGCCCCCCTCACACGAGGCGCAGATTACTGCGGGCGCGGTCCCAACATCAATGGCCTAGCTCTGATACCATGTTGAAACAATAGACTTGGGCCCAATTCAACCCCAAAAGTTAACTCAAGAGGTTGAGGCACCCAAGCTATTAAATAGCAGCACAATATAAGGTTGCATAGCCGATGTGGAATGAACAAGTCAACAACTTTTTCATGCCCTACCTATCACATCATACTTTTTCACTAACAACTAAACTATCACATCTTACTTTTATCCATCACATCAAAGGCAAAATTGGAAAGTCAACTACAATTTAACACTTCCTTATTTTCTCCCAAAGTCAAAAGAGGAACTCTTTTGAGAAACGAAGGGAGTATATACGGAGTACTCCGTACTTCCACCCACTCACAAAATTTTTCTCATTTTTTTCGTTTCGCACAAAATCTTTTTTATTTATACTACGTACAACTCTATCACATCGTACCTTTTATTAATAATTTACATATCACATCATATTTTTATAATTTTATCCAATTGATTAAGGATATTTTTGAAAAGTCAACACAAAAATATTCTTCTTTAATTCTTCTATAAGTCAAAATGGGAAAACTATAACGGAGGAAGTACAACCCTTGTCTGAGTGTAGCTTGATTTTTTTGAGTTAAACTGAACACATTTTAAGTTTCAATTATTTTTAATTTAAATCGCATATTAATACAATGAAGTAATATTTTGAAAATAAGATAGATCTAATAAAATCACTTCTATACTAATATACGTTATAACTTTGTTTACTTGAAACTCAAAGTTCATCCTTTTTGATTTGAACAAGTCAAACTGAACAAATATGTATATTGGCATGCATTTTCCTTCCTTTAATTTGGACGTACAATATGATTGGTCTCGTTATTAATTAAATGCTAATAATTTCAATTTTTATTGTGTGTTTTTTTTTGTTTGGATTTGAAGGTCCCATTGGTGGGAAGGCTGAAGAAAATATGTTAATTGATCCAAATGGATTTTGCCACACCAATAATGTGCCATGCGAGAAAAATGAAGATTGTGTCGATTCTTGCAAGGGTCATGGCGCCGGAATTTGCTTCCATTTTGAGGATCCTAATAACACTCTTATGTGTTGTTGTAGAAAACGATAGGTTACAAAAAATTGAGTACGTAGTAGAATCCATGCATAAATAAAATGAATAAATAAACGAAATTGAAGGAGTAATTTAGTTCATAGTTTAATTTATACTCTCTTAAGGGAATCAATATACTGCATTTGTCGCAGAAATATTATCTCAGTTACTTTTACCATTATTATTCATAATAATTTTTAATTCGTGGTTTAATTCAACTCCTTTCCATATGGTCTCATTTACTTTTATGGCTAGCTATTTCTCTTAATATACAATTTTTATTTGATTGTGTTTTTTAATTGATTGTTTGATAAAATAAATAAATTTACTACATTTTGTTTAAAAGAATTTTTGATGTATCCTCGAAATATATAATTTGCACTCTTTATTTCTATCTGAATTCTCTAAACAATTATATTAAAAATATCATAAGTTAAATATTGTAAATTAAAAAAACGAATTTAAGTTAGGCGGAGAGGTAATTAAATTTGTTATGCCTTTGGAGGGTGTAGTAGTTTGGTATGGATTATTGCGAAGGGCCACTTAAAGGGCCAAACGTTTTTGGACGTTATTTTCTCCTAGGTAGGCCCATGTGCCAATGGAGGAATTGAGAGTTGAAATACACTTGAATCCAAAATAGTAGGTGTAAGGGCACTGAAAATACGTTTGAAGCCCCGGGTCTTCAAATTTTCTCTCTCTGCCACGTCAGCTTTAACTTACACCCAAAAATCACTGGAAATGGGTTTGAAGCCCCCGGGGCTTCAAACTGGGGCTTCAAACCTTCATTTTTTACATTTTTAAATATACATATTCTAAATTTAAATTAATAAATTTAAATTAATTTATTATTTAATTATATTGAAACACGAATAATAAAAAAATACATTCATGAAATTAAAAAAGCGACAATAATAAAAAAAGATACATTAATAAAAAAACTAAGGAAAATTATATTTCTCCTTGATCTCTTTTATTCTTTGCTCGTAGAGCATTCGTCCAATCTCCGACAACGTCCCGGGGTCGGTTTCCATGACTTTCATCTTGGACTCCTGCTCCTTTAGCTTCAACTCCTTCTCCTTTAGCTTCAACCTCTTTTGTTCTCGGAGATTGAACGTCCGAAGTTGTTCAACCATTTCCCGGCCGATTTCGTCGCGGGAAGAAGCGGAAACAAGGCCGGACCCTCCCGAACCCGAGGCAATGGATTTTGCCTTCTTTCTTCCGATCGTCCGTGGAATGGGGTCCTCGCCATTGGAATCCGCAACGTTGAAGGGAGGGATTTGATCGGTCAAACCGATAGTCTCGTCGACCTCAACCTCGGCGTCGACGGAGGATCTTTTCTGGAACGATCCGCCGTTGGGATTGTTGAGTTGTTGCCACTTTGGGGAACCGCTCAAAATCCTCCAAAGATCGATGGGCACCTTGCCTTGGTGCCTGTCGTCTTGATACCGGGCCGTGGCAAGTCGGAGAACATCGGCGTCATTCGTCCCGCTCCTCTGGGACCGGGAGCATTCCTCGTAAACTCCTACTCTCTCCGTCCCAGAGTATTTGTCCACTTTCATTTTTACACACCATCCAATACACTTTTTTAATCCATTTTATCTTGTAATTTGTATATTAAAAAATTATAGAAATTATATATTAATAATCTATATGTTAAGACAAATCAAACAAGACACATGACTATATTTAGGCTTACATATTGAGAGAATTTGATGAGTCAAAGTGCTTAGATGAACAGTTCCAAAAGTCAAAAGTGGACGAATATAGCGGGACGGAGGGAGTATAAACTTTCGGACTTTATGGTTGATGTGGCTCCATTTGGAAGTGAGTTGGTCCCGGGTTCGGTAGGAGCCGTCCTTGTTCATCACCGTGAAGAACTTCTCCTCGATACGATCCCACATCGCATCTTTCGTTTGCTCTGAACCTTTAAAAATGTATAACACAATTTTTTTAGACACGATTAAATATAATATATATAAATAAAAACATAAATATATTAGAAAAAATAAATTTTTTACCAATGATAGGATGCTCGAAGACGTCAACCCAAGCCGACGCCAATAAGCACTCCTCCTCCGGCGTCCACTTTTGGATTGACTGTGCCGCCTCGGTCATCATGCCTTTGGCTTTGTGGCTTTTTCGGCGTGTACTTTTTTTTGACCCGGTCGGTTCCGGTTGAGTCTCCGGAACCGAGTCTCGCTCGACGTACCCCGATTGTTGCGTCTCGTAGATCGGCGGTCGATCGCCCCACTCTTGGTACAACCAGATCGCGACGTCGCTCGGTGGGAGATCGTCGGGAAAGAAGCCGGAGCCGGAAGGATTCAAGTTGAAAAGAGAGATGGTGATTTCGAAATTATGGGAAGAAGAAGATTGAAGAAGAGTGAAGAAGGAAGGTGTGAGAGATTGGGAGGGGGGTTGAATTTATAAGATTGGGAGGGGGGGGTCCAACGGCTATTATAGCCGTTAAAGGGGGAGGGGAAGAGAATGACGAAGCGTCATTCCTTTGACGCAGGCCGTTTCACGCTTGGCTAACGCCGCCGGGGGGCGGTGTTTAACGCCCCGGGGCGTGAAAACAACCCTAACACCGGGTGGCGTTATGGGTATACCCAGTGCTCTAGGTGTAAGCACTAATTTCACATAAATAAATCTTATCAAAATTATATTTTAATTTTTTTTTATTCAAGTCAATGTACGAATTGAAATAGCTAGCTGTATGAAATCAGTTTTCTTCATTAAAGGATTTGAATTTACTCATGTTGTTTGAAGGGTATAATGACTCTATATTTTATTAGTATTAATTATTATTATTACTATTAGTATCATTTAATATTAATCAATTTCATTCTTATCTTTTCTTTATTGTATCAATTGTTATTATTTTTATTATTTATTTATTTTGATCTAAATGAACTGGGCCTTAATAATATCAACTGTCGTCTCACATAGCTAATGAACAGAGACCTTCCAGTCGAAATATGGGTTTGGGTTATGAAAAAACTAGCAACAGGGCCGGCCCAGGTAGGCCTGCGGAACACCCGCACCAGGCTCGTCTTAACAAAAGGAGGCTCAAAATTTTTCCATAAAATTATTAATGTTTCGATTTTTTCCCCGGTAAACTGTATAAATTTTGACAGAAAAAAATATGGACAATGTATTTTTTTGTACTCCCTCCGCCTATAAAAGATTTCCACAGTTTGATTTTTAGTCAAACTGTGGTATTCTTTGGACACGAATTAAATATGGTTAAAAGTAATTAAATATTATAAAAAATTGATAATTCAAAACTATATTTTAATATGAACCCAATTCTACAAAATTTTATAATTAAATATAGTTTTTCCATAATTCGTAGCCAAAGAATGCCACCGTTTGACCAAAAAAATTAATCTTTTTGAGACGGAGGGAGTAATATAAATAAGATATAATTGAGTTTATTTTAAGATTTAGTTTCAATATTACAAAATATTGTAAAATTTATTTATTTAAAAATATATTTATTGATGGTAAAAATTAAAAAAGTGTAACAGTTTGATAAAAAAGTCAAAATATAATGATTTTTTGGATTGAGAGAGTATATATGTTATTTTCAATTTAAAACTAATTTTGTTCTCTCGATTAAATCGACTAACATCCAAAATATCGCAATGCACCCTTAAATAAACAATTTTCTCTCTTTCATATGACTATATGAGTCAAGAATGTTTGTGGTATGGTTCGATTGAGGTCATGTTCTCGTTAACTTATTTTTACTTTTTACTAATTCTTATTGGAATCAGATCAGATCAGAAATAACTTTAAATATGATTACAGTCAAATCAGATTAGATCAAGTGAAGAGAACATGTCCGAAATCAGTGGGCATTATATTTTCATCTGTACGACTATATCTGTAATGTGAAGTATGTGAATAAGCTTAATATATTAATTAATGCGGTAATGCTCCTTAATCGATCAACTGCAAAGTTTTAAATGTTGTCTAACTATGCCCATACTGAATTTATAAATACCAAGCAGGCGGGTAAAAAATATGGAGTAATGTAATTATACCACCTTTTATTTTGTCTATATAGAATTTGATATGGTTTTTAAATATAAGAATTTGTAATCTTACACTAACAAAAATGAGACCAATACGTGAGACTAGTGGTTTTGGGACAGTTATGGTGTTTCGTTCATAGGATTTATGGATCTCATCCCCCTAAACGATTCAGATCCATCAATTTCTCTCTGCCCCTACTGCACCCCTAGATCGCCGATCTAGAGTTGGGTAGGGCGGATGACATTGATGTTCCAAAAGATTTGGGTAGCATCAGGAAAATGGAAGTCAAATGAAAAATAATGTTTGGTCAATGAAAATAAGCTGAATAAGGGAAATTGACTTCCGCTCTTGAAATCAGGAAGTCATTTTCCGTTGTGCTCTTTGCGGCTATGTTGATTAAAAAAATATTCTTGCTAAATTTTGTGTTATATAATTTTTTAGGTTGTTTCAAATTATACAGAAAAGTATATGTTTATATAACGACCTTGTTTGAGAACGGTATATCCAATTAGCCGGCGTTTTAGATAAAATTCTAATGGTGTAAATTAATCCTGAAAATGTTAAACACTAAACGCTATTGTTAGGTAGCATTTTCAAACACTAACGTTAATTTCTAACGTTTACATCAAATGGATCCAACGTATACCTCTAACTTTGCAATTTTATACAAACGGGTGATACTAAAAAATGAATAAATGTACTAAAAAAATGCACAATATATGTATTAAGCTCCATAAAAATCATACTCCGTGCTACATATGATCCATATGTGAAAAAACAAATTTTATATTTGTAGGTCTAATGAAATAAAATTACATGGCATAATAATATAATAAATAATGCTTTTAATTTTTATACTAGATTTTAACCCGTGCGATGCATGGTAAAAATTTTAAAATGTGAAATTTGTACTAAATAGGACTAAAATATAATGACTTTCCTAATTTAAGACTTAAACTTTTTTATTTCCTAAATAAGACTTTTTAATGTCTTAGTGGGAGAAATAATATCCAGTAATGATGAACGTTTACTTGAATAATGACTAATTTATAATGACCAAAAATCCTATATTAGGAAATAAAAACATATGATCCTATATTGGGAAAGTCATTATGTTTTAGTCCTATTTAAGTAAATTACTCTTTTAAAATAATAAGTTATGTAAAGTATAAATAACTACTAATTTAAAGATAAGTTACTATTGGCTTGTATAATATCAATGCTTGCAATATTTTCCATCAAACAATAGCGTTTAACAAAAATAAAACAGAAACATATTACGAAATCTAAAAAATTTCTTTATACACAACATTTTCAAGTGTGGTCCAAGGGAATATTCTCTTCATCGCAAAGTTAAGATTTTCAATCTTTGTCAATTCGTCACTCATGAGATAGTAACTTAAGATCGATTACGGTGAAAAAGTAGATTTTAAATTAGTAAGCAACATGTAATAGAGTTTGTTCTAACTTTTGTCAAAGGATATTTTTGTCAATTCAATAAAGGTATGTTCGTTACCCCCAAAAAAATAGTAGGAGTATTTTAACACCTAAAAATTCCATAGAAGTATATTTTTAATTCATAACAAAATTTATTACGGAGTATGTGAGAACAAAGGGAGTGAAATAGTAAAGCACCCGAATGAATGGTGCAGACAAATGTGATTAAGTTTGGTGTAGACAAATGTGATTAAATTTTTGGCTGCAAGAAATCAGGATTCCTACTTTGGCATCCTCATATCAACAAAATTAACTTCTTTAAACCTTTCCTCCATCTCTATTCTAAGTTTTAAATCACCCCACCACTAAAGAAGTACTTCAGCATCCCTCTTCAAAAACTCACAGTAAGGCTTAAAAGCTTCTTGAGCTTTATAGTATTCTTTTCAAAGTGAAGTCCAAAGAAGAGTCTAAATATCAATTCCAATACTCTGCCATTCTTTAGCTTTAGATATATGCTTCCTCTCTAAAAGATTAGTGTATCTTAAATGTCACAATGCAATTCATTAACCATAGAAATATTGTATAAAAAATACTCCAAATTACTTGCAAATCCGACACTTAAGCACTCAAATAATATATTTAGTCCATTAATGTACAAAATCATTTGCTCTTCAAATTAAATAAAGTTCTGACATATTTACATTCATTCCTTTTCCACCTAACTATCCACACATTTGTTGAAGTCTCCTAATGCATCTTTAATCTGCGTATCCCTCCAACACCTTGTCGACTTTAAAGTTCTAAATTGCAGAATGATTTAAATTTGACTGTCAATAATTAAACATAAAGAAATAAAAACATATAGAGTATGTATATATCACATTACTCTTCCCTGAATTCATCCGTGCCCTTCTTTGAGAACGTCTGGTGAATCAATTTGGTACAATGGCGTAGTTGCCATCTATGCATCAAACACTCTGTGTCATCGTCTCTAATCCATTCTCAAAGTTGGAGGAATCAAATCCTTCACTTCGTTCAAGAACTGTGCCCAGAAAGAATGTGAGCGGACAGGAATCTACCTCTACCATCAACTTTGAAAAGGCATTGCGAGTAGAGAGTGTAGTCATATTGGCACAATAAAAGGTGGAAAGCAAAGACTGGTCTGTATAGA